ATGATGCTCTCGTCACATTACACACTCATTTAATTTGGTTACCTCTGGTCACATTGTACATATATTCATTATGTTGACCTCTGGTCACCTTACAATAATGCTCACATAACACAATCATTCACTTTGGTTACTTCTGGTCACCAAACACATATATTGATGTTAGTTACCTTGGGTCATCTTACACAGATATTGACTAAAATTTCCTCTGGTCACCATACGCAGATATAAACGTCGGTTTTGTCTAGCCACCTTATTAACAAATATGTTTATTTTGTTTACCTCTGATTTCCTACTAAATATATTTATTTTTGTTACCTCTAATCACCTTACATTCACATTAACGTTGGTAACCCTGGTCACCTTACATCTGTATGCTTTTTAGTTACCTCCGGTCACCTTGAACATCTCTTGACTATGTTTACATCTGGTCACCTTACAATCATGTCCTGGTCACATTACACACGTATTCAATTTGGAACGGACTGCAATAAATTTTGATACTCTGCAATTTTCATTCTCAAAATGAATTGTTTTGAATCTTTGCAAAATGGCTAAAAATCTAGGGTTTTTTGCCTGAAATCTAGGAGTTTTAACAACTTTATATCAATTTGCATCATGTCGGAAAATCAATTTCTTTTTGTTTAGAAAAAATGCATCAAGCTTTTAAATACTACAGCTTAATTCAATTTTTCTTAGAAAAAAAGGCAATTCTCAACATCCTTCAAATGCATCCTGCAATAAAAAAAGAAATGAATAATATACATACTAAAATTTTAGCATTCCTTTTTGTAAGTTATATTTTACATTTTAAATTATACAATAAACTAAATTTTTAGCCTACTGAAATTTTACATTCAAAACTCAGTGCTAAATTTTTAGCTTTCAAAGATTCTCATTTCAATGTTATTGGCTCGAGTTTTAACCGTTTGAGCAATTTGGACAAGAACAGTTAATACATGAACAAAAATGCTAAATTTTTAGAAAAAAAAATATCACATTTTGCTCGAAAATTGCAATTTTTTTTATTGTAATATACTTAATTGTAAATTATAAGCCTGGTACCTTTGAAAAGTATTTATATCCGATTTTGAGATGATATTTAGCGACTTTAGCGATCATATTTTGCTTTGATTAGGAAAATCACGCGTAAGAGTTTACATTTAAGGAAGCATTAGAACCGCATTTCCTAAAACATTCATAAATTGGCCTCAACATACGGACTAGTTTATCATTAAAGTATACTAATCGACATTTGATGGGATTGTATTGCTCAATCTGTAGTAGGTTTGCGGTATGGGCTTTACTCATTGTTGAAGGCAGTGCGATAACCTATAGTTGTTAATTTCTGTGTCATTTGGTCTCTTGTGAAGAGTTGCCTCATTGGCAGTTACACCACATCTTCTTTTTTATATTGATATTTTTTCGACATTTCACACTTGTTGACCCTTATGGAACTGAATTGTTTGCCGCAAACTTGCAGCAGACTTGCTGCAAGCTTGCGGCAAACAAAAAGTTTGCAGGAACACAGAAAATAGTGTTTGCAGATGTTTGCCGCTAGCTGCAAACTTCCGGCAAACATTGCAGCTTTTTGCTGCAAGCTTGCGGCAAGTTTGCAGAAACATCAATGTTTGCCGTAAGATTGCCAGAAAGTTTAAAATTATAAAGAATGTTTGCCGCAAGATTGCAGAAAACTTTGACCATTCTATATGTTTGCCGCAAGATTGCAGAAAACTTTGACCATTCTGTATGTTTGCCAGAACATTGCAAGAATTACACAATATTGACTGGGCATGCCTAGTTGGCACTTCCTGGAAGATATCAATTTGAAATTGTGGCTAGGTCATGTTGGTTGTGTTTGGAAAATGCATTTCACAAATAAGAGATCAAGGAGGCATTTTGGTTCAATAGATAAAGATATTCAGTATGTAATTTTGTAAGTACAAATAATTCATAGAATGTTTTAATAAAATAATTAATGTTATCATCATACATAATAAAGTAAGCAACTATATATACATGTATGTGTGTAATGAAAAACTTTAGCTATTACAAGTTTGAATTTTGTAACTGATGTACTGTACCATGTTTATTAAAACTAAGTTCAATTCTGTTATGCAATTGTTACCTAGCTTTATACTCAATACACATTTGAGATTTATCCTTTTTCATTTCTTAATACAGGTATATGATGTCATTTGAGAATGACCCCTGCCCCCTTTTTCAAAACGCAAATGCATGTATGTATTTCCTTAAATCTAGTAAGTTTGCAAGAACTCTTTCAATGACTGTTTGCATACAGACATGAATTGATTTTTTAAAAATATTGCTGTGTAATTTGAAAGAGATAAATTGAATATGTCTACACACATGACATTGGTATAATGTGTAGTTCCTGCAAGTTTGCCGCAAGTTTGCAACAAACAATTGCCGCAAGCTTGCAGCAAACAATTGCCGCAAGCTTGCGGCAAATCTAATTTGCATAATTATGTTTGCAGCAAGCTTGCCGCAACCTTCATTTGCATGGTAAAATGGTTGCGGCAAGTTTGCAGCAAATGTTTGCTGCAAGCTTGCGGCAATGTTTGCTGCAAACTTGCGGCAAATGTTTGCCGCAGAGCTTATTTTTCGGTAAGGGGACACGGTATTTTCGATCTTTTTCGCCAAATGAATTTTAAGTTTGCCTTAGACATCTGTTTTTCAGCAACCTCTTGTATACTATAAATCAATATTTTTTACCAATCAATGCCAGTATATATATACTGTATATGGTTTGTCTATAATTTTATATGTTGACACTTTAAAGTAAATTTTATGTCTTATGTTCTAAGGACTTTATATGAAGTCAAAAGACATGGAACATGATATTAGGAAATACGAGAGAATGTTTACATGAAAACCATACTTGAACTCTAGTTACAATAAATATTTACATATTGTCATACAAAATAAAACTAGCAAAACTAGTCATATATATAGAGATCAACTTACGTTTAAGTTACCTAGTTTCTCCTCCTCTTATGGTATGCTTAATTCCTTTAAATAAAATTATCATTTATATTAAAAGAACACAAACAGTTGATGTTTTGTCATATAACAATAGAGTCACAACAACTTGGCGCCATTTTGTTATCATAAACAGTCTTCGTCTTTCAAATGCTTTAATTATATTCGATGAATTTAGGAAATGTTAAACGTTTAAGTGATTTTTAGATTTTAAGCGCCTTTATGATTTACATTTTGTCTCTAAAGTGCTTGAATAATTGTATCACTTTTAGATTATTTTGTTCTTTAATAATTAATGTTTATTTACAGCTACAATAAAAAAATATGATATATTGATAATTTTATTTATACTACTTGGACAATTCCGGAGTCATATAGTACCTTTAAAAAATGTTTTTTTTTCGATCAAAAACGCTGCGGCACCATATGTGTTTCTTGGACTTATTCACACCCAAAGGTGTTGAACTTTAATAATTTGGCAATTTTGTGTACGTAATTGTTTTAATAAAAACGCAGGACCGAAAAAGGCTACCATTGTCGCCTACGTAAATAATTACTTCATTATAACCTATAGCAAAATGATGATTTTGGGATGTTTTTTCATGTGGACGATATATTTTATGAGGGGACTTTTTAAATCAATATGTGTCTGGTCAGTAAACTGTACAAGAAAAGATTTGGCATTCACAATATACCTATAGTTTATTTCAAATTTTTACTATTTTTATTATTTTTCCGAGGGGTGGGTATGTTTAACCCACAGTTAAACAATAATCCCTGTACAGATTGTTTATATCATTATGTTCTATCATTTCTCATTAGTTTACCTATATTTAGGCATATCAGAAAAAGGGGGCACGGTGTTCCTGATGTTCTGTGTGAATTTTTCCATTTTAATTGCTTGTTAGCCGTAAAAATACCTCCTAAAATATGAAAATTAATTTAAAAATCAGGGATAACACATTTTTCTACACTGTGTCGTCGATTTGAATATGCTATAGAATGTGCACAGAAAACTTACAAAGGCAAGTGTAGATATGCATTGTAGTCTTCTTATAGTCTGTTTCATGAAGTATGGTTTCGCCGTTTTAACTGTTTTATTATATACTTGACGAAAATATACTAAACTTGCCACGAAAAGCGTATCACCAGCTTCGATTCTAGCATTGGATCTGAATATACATTTTTCATAGCATATCCAATTGTAGATGCTGTCAAACTGAAATTAAGTGTTGGTAAAGGTACCCGAGTCTGCAAAAAAAAGGTTTTTTTGTGATTGGGGGTACCTGTAAAGAAAGTCAGTTTAAATTTTTCACGATCGTCTCTGTGTCGCCAAATTTTGCATAATAGCAGGAAATAGGCATAGCTATCGATAAATATGAAACATGTTTGATTTTAATTCAGTTTGTGTCCGTATAGGTTAAAAGGAAGTAAATACGGACTACGGCCGGGCGCCACCTAGATTTCACATCCAACATACTAGCTAGAAGTAAATTATTTTTTCTGCTGTCCTGTTAATTAGAAAAGAAAATTGAAACAGTAGGAAATGAACGTCAGCCACTCGTGTAAATATATCAAGAATTTTTTCGGACAATTCTATGTGATTAAGACAGTTATCGGCGTAAGATTAAGCAAAGGGTATGCTTCATTTATACTACTTGGACAATTCCGGAGTCATATAATACCTTTAAAAAATGGTTTTTTTCGATCAAAAACGCTGCGGCACCATATGTGTTTCTTGGACTTATTCACACCCAAAGGTGTTGAACTTTAATAATTTGGCAATTTTGTGTACGTAATTGTTTTAATAAAAACGCAGGACCGAAAAAGGCTACCATTGCCGCCTACGTAAATAATTACTTCATTATAACCCATATTGTGTGTTTAAAATATTCAAAGGATTTTATGTGTTTTAAAATGTACAGATAACTGTGTTATAAACTAATTATCGGTCTCATCCGAGTGCTCCTAGACTGGAGGGATTTACATAAGAAGAAGAAGAAGAAGAAGAAGAAGATGGCGTCGTCAAAGGACTTCAGGTCAGCGGCAGGGAAAAGACATAATATCGGTCTTACTGAATGTAAAGACTTAAACGAACTGGACTATGTAAGTTTTTACTTGAACATTTTGTATATGAATGTAAACATTTCGTATTTTTCTTCAAATCTCAACAGTATAATCACGGGTATAATCATAATTTTATGCTCATACGATGCAGTCCGACCACATAAGACTTTGCAGCTTATTAACATAGAACTTGCATCTAATTTGATATTTAACATTTTGATATATGAATCGATTGACTGACAAATCTATATTGTGTGTGTTTATCTCATTTCCCATAAAATGTCTCCGATTGATTTTAAAATCAACAAAGTGGGTCGTGAAAGATATTCAGTCATTTCGTACCATAACCATTTCGTACCATTGCCATTTTATACCCAAAATTACCATTTCGTACCATGCATTTGCCATTTCGTACCATGAACATAAACCATTTCGTACCATAAAAGGACCATTTCGTACCACATGGAAAAATGCTTTACCATTTCGTACCATATGGAAAAAATGCTTTTCCATATCGTACCATATTATGGAAATAATTCTTTACCATATCATTATGCTTTACCATTTCTTACCATGTTGGAAAAATGTTTTTTTTTGTACCATATGACTTGTTCATGAGAAATATATTAGAAATTACATGGGAATCTTGTTTTTATGTTAATATTGGTTTTTATATTTACTAAATAATTTCGTTTAAATAAATGTTTTATATACTATTTATTTTAGATATCAATTCCCATATTTATATGAATTCATAAAAAATTAATCATCTGTTATTTTTTTTTTTACGAATATGATAGGAATAATTAAGAATTAGATGGTAACTTCAAATGGTGCAATTAAGCTATGTGTTTGGACAGTGTTTATCGCTAATTATTTATTTTTACTCCAAAGTTTTGTTGTTAATTAAACAACAAAAAAATAATCATCAGCATATGCTTTTATAGTCATTAAACGTTGTTTTACCAGGAAATGCAGAGAAAGGGGCACAAGCTAACATTCAGTGTTCTCCCAAGGATTTTTGGATAGCACCATGGTAGCGCGTGACAAGTTGGATAAACGTGTTGACTTTTGTGACGCGTCGTGTCGTTTTTTTATGGTGTTTTTTTCATAATATGGTTATACCCATATTAAAGGTTTGTTTTTGCATCCTTTTTATTGTTTTCTTCTTAACCCTGTTCTAAGTTTGACATTTTCTGATTTAATAATTGAAAAGCAACAAAGATTTTACATTATTTATTCAAGTTGAAGAATAATAAAACAAGATTTAATACATAACATATGACAAGCACTAAGGAAAGTTACTGTTGTTTTCTAATTTCCAAGTGCTCACTGATTAAAGGCTAATTATTCTTTACTTTCTATATAAAACATTTAGGCATAATAACTAAAGTTAAATTAAGGCAATTTACAGCAAATAAATAACCAGTAAATAAAATTATTTCATTTCACAAGAAGTTTTATTCTTATTTAATTTCAATAAAAAAAATACTGGAAAGGTTTATATTAAAACTAAGAAAGGAAGGAAAGGATACCTTTTTTATCTTGTGTAATAATTTAAAAAATACTTGAAAAAATTATATTAAAACTAAGAAGGAAGGGATGATCACCTTTCTTATCTTGGGTAATTATTAACCAGGGATTGGTCTTCTGTCAATCACTGTCTATACAAAGTTAATAACAATTTTAAATAACAAGGGATGTTGGTGGGGGCTTATCTCGCCCTTTATTTTACAATGATCTAGTTGGTTTTTTCCGACTTTAAAAACTTGGCTCCGACATTGTGAGTTTGATTCCCCAATTTTCCGTATCTTATCAGATTTATGTCAAGTGAAGCTTGGATCACGTGCTCCATAAAGAATCAAAATATGTATGATCCTTAAAATTATTCTCAATCCAACAACGTGTGTACAACAGTCGGCACTGTTTGTGTACAAAGGTAAATTTGCCGGTGTCACTGGTCAACGCTTGGGTGGTGAGTGAAGCCATAAAATTATAATCTCCAGTCATAAATTAATCCAAAATCAATTAAAACATAAAGGAATTCTGTTACAAGTGATAATCAAGTGATTAATTCCAATCAACAAGTTTCATCAGGTAAACATCAAGGTGCAGCTCAAACAACGCCCGGAATTTATCATGAAACAAGCCACAAATTTGTCTGTTTGCATTAGAATTTGCACCTTGTTTTTGTTTTCTTATTTGATAAAAAAGCATGTGAAGTATATGCCGTTGAGACATCAATTACATGCACCCAATCATATAACAAAATAGCTATAAAATCTTTGATGTGGTATGAAATGGCATACACATAAATTTCCTATATATATGGTACAAAATGGCAAACACTTAAATTTCCTATATGGTACGAAATGGTAAACAAATAAATTTTTGGTATGGTACGATATGGCAATTTGATTTCCCATGTTGTACGAAAAGGTTACCATTATGGTAAAAAATGGCTTTCTTATAGATTTTGTGTATGGTACAAAATGACATACACATATGTCTTTTTTAATTAAGGTATGAAACTTAGTCTTTAAGGTTTATGTGCCCTTATTTAGGCCTGTGAGTTCATAAAACTTAAAGTGCGATAATATGGAAATAGAACAAAATACTAGTAAAAAGACGGTACCATTTTGCGCATATTAACTTAGGAAATTTCATTCACTGCAATACTTATCAATTTTTTCAGTTTATTTGATAGAAAATGAGCATTTTGTGTTCAATTTGGCCAAAATTTTATAAAAATTCCCCAGACTTTATTACAGGGATTTTTAAAAGGTAGTGCCTTTTAATGGTATTGGAATAATCCATTTTAGGTTAATGAATAATGCATGAATTAGGTCTAACCATGATTTAGGTAAATAACTCTACTCTCATTTAGTGAATGCTATAAAAATTTGTAATAAAACATTGATACTGAATATAATAAATTGAACTGTGTCGTGTTTATGGTTTTTAATCCTTTGATGAAGTTGTGTTTTTGTCGAGCCTGCGACTTTTGTCGCAGAAAGCTCGACATAGGGATAGCGATCCGGCGGCGGCGGCGTTAGCTAACTTCTTAAAAGCTTTATATTTTAGAAGATGGAAGACCTGGATGCTTCATACTTTGTATATGGATGCCTCATGTTACGAAGTTTCCGTCAGTCACATGTCCAATGTCCTTGACCTCATTTTCATGGTTCAGTGACTACTTGAAAAAAAAGTTAAGATTTTTTGTAATGTTAAATTCTCTCTTATTATAAGTAATAGGATAACTATATTTGGTATGTGCATACCTTGCAAGGTCCTCATGCCCGTCAGACAGTTTTCACTTGACCTCGACCTCATTTCATGGATCAGTGAACAAGGTTAAGTTTTCGTGGTCAAGTCCATATCTCAGATACTATAAGCAATAGGTCTAGTATATTCGGTGTATGGAAGGACTGTAAGGTGTACATGTCCAACTGGCAGGTGTCATCTGACCTTGAGCTCATTTTCATGGTTCAGTGGTTATAGTTAAGTTTTTGTGTTTTGGTCTGTTTTTCTTATACTGTATGCAATAGGTCTACTATATTTGGTGTATGGAATGATTGTAAGGTGTACATGTCTAGCTGGCAGGTGTCATCTGACCTTGACCTCATTTTCATGGTTCAGTGGTTATAGTTAAGTTTTTGAGTTTTGGTCTTTTTTTCTTATACTTTATGCAATAGGTCTACTATATTTGGTGTATGGAATGATTGTAAGGTGTACATGTCCAACTGGCAGGTGTCATCTGACTTTGACCTCATTTTCATGGTTCAGTGGTCAAAGTTAAGTTTTTGAGTTTTGGTCTTTTTTCTTATACTATATGCAATAAGTCAACTATATTTGGTGTATGGAAATATTCTATGATGTACATGTCAGTCTCGCAGGTTTTATTTGACCTTGACCTCATTCTCACGGTTCATTGCTCAGTGTTAAGTTTATGTGTTTCAGTCTGTTTTTCTTCAACTATAAGCAATAGGTCAGCTATATTTGTTGTATGGAAGGATTGTAAGCTGTTCATGTCTGCCTGGCATGGTTCATCTGACCTTGACCTCATTTTCACGATTCATTGGTCAATGTTTTAGTTTTCTTGGTTAAATCTGTTTCTTAGAAACTATAAGCAATAGGTCAACTGTATTTAGTGTATTGAATGATTGTAAGGTGTACATGTATTTCTCGTTTGGTTTATATGACCTTGACTTCATTTTCTTGGATCATGTTAAGTTTATGTAATAGTTGTAGTAAAGCTTTCATTTAGGACTATCAACATAATATCAATGGTTAGTAAAGAAGGCGAGACATTTCAGCGTGTGCACTCTTGTTAAAGTAAAGAGGTCAATTCCTCAACTGCCATAGTCTCGCAGAAGTCCGCATGAAATATTCCCCTTTTTTATTTGATATTTCAACCTTAAGTGGCTGTAAAAACCTTGTCAGTTGTTCATGATATGTTGAAAAAATGACTAAATAGATAAAACTGTCAAGATTTAGACCCATCGTTCATGGAAATTCAATTAGGTTTTATTTTATTCTTGACAAGTAATTTGCATTTATACATCAAAACACCAAAATCTTCCCGAATAAGAGGAACTGCTATATCGTATTGATTGTCACCTGATTTGTTCTTCGGGTATTCGACGAATCCTAAAGATCTGGTACTTCCCGCCAATTTCAAACCGACTCACCGCAATGAAAAATATAGTCAGAAGATTTTTGTAAAAATATGATGCAATGAATTGTATAGATTTAAGTAAGTACGAACAATTTGGTAATAATATTATTTTTGAAAGGATGCGAATTGGTAATTTTCTAATGAAGTAATTGATATCGCAAGATTTATGTAAATATTTTGGGTGTCGTGCGCAGTAATACGTATTTACGATCCAAAATGGAGATTGATCATTGAGAAAGAAGGAGACACTGTTTGCATCTGATATTTTTCCAAGCTCTTTTATATGCCTGATAGCGATTACAAAGGCACATTAACGATCTTGTAGAAAGAATCGGAATACACATCTTGTAAAGAAAGAAACGGCTTTGGACGAAGTTCACACGTGTAAATGTTGAGTAGATAATTCAGAGGGGGGAGGGTCCTGATCCAGTAATCCCGGGCTTAACATGAAATCCTGATGACCCGAATACAAAGAAATTTCAATCCCGTAACCTCGGCCTTGAAAATGGACAATCCCGGAGTCCCGATAAAGGTCCGACCCCCCTATTTATGAACTTAAGGTTCATCTTTACACTTTGTCAAAAATGGCTGTGTTTACATCTCATCATAAAATTTCCTCTGAGTACAGAAAAAACTGTACAATCTAAAAATTTTAAAGCCTGGCAGCACCTAGATCTATATTTCTTGCATCCATTTTGTCATTTAAAATGTTAAAATCTTTTATGAATTTTGCTGAACATTTTCTTTCCTTTCCACAGAAGATGGAAAAATAAAAAACCACCTGAGATTTAAATGATACAGTCCACTAATTTTGTTGAGTAGATTTCTATTGTCCTATCATTCATGCAAAAAGCATGCTACAATTTACAATCATTACCTGAGGGGACAGACCTTAAATAATTATCATTTAGGATCACCTGTGGTGGTATCGGGTCCGTTCGCGCCCATAACATGTTCGCACCCTACACGTTCGCGCCCCACACGTTCGCACCCTGGGTTCTTTCGCGCCCTATTTTTAATAAGTAGATTTTGTATAATGAAAATTGTAATTTTATATTTATCCTTTATATAAATAAAAAATAGTAATTCTATTTCATATTTTGTTTTTTTGTGGATAGCTGATTTATATTCAATGGTAAAATTATTTAAATGATTACTGTTAATTGGTATTTAAAAAGTTAATTTGTTATTATTATATGTTTGAAAATTAGGATTGTTGTTATAGCCAGCTTTGGTGTTAAGTAAAACAAGTAGTTAGCTTGGTATGAGTAAAATAATGAAAGATATTAAATGAAAAAAAAAGATGATTGTTTTAACAGCTTGGTTCCTTTGATCTCATTTGTTTTTAGACAATTAAGCATCATGATATAACATATGTTTGAAAGCTGTTCTGTAACTAGCTTCTGCCTTTCTTTTACAAGTCGAATTATTCATTTCTTCAAAATAATTCACAAGACTCCTTTTAGAATGACACTTTATTCTAAAACAATTATAACAAAATATTATCTATATTTTATAGCAATACACTGACTGAAATACGATTAGAATTATCTTTAAAAAGGGCGCGAACGTGTAGGGTGCGAACGTGTAGGGAGCGAACGCGGCTGAGCGCGAACGAACCCGGATTCACCTGTGGTAAGGAAAAAAAATGTTTAGCCAAATCCACAATAGTTTCATATTTTCTTAAACAAAAAATTTATACAACCTTTGTATATCTAGGTGCTGCCAGGCTTTAAAACTTTTTAAATTATACAGTTTTGTCTGTACTCAGATGTAATTTCATGGTGTAAACACAGTCATTTTTGACAAAGTGTAAAGATGAACCTTAACTTTTTTTCTCTTTTAATATCTTTATATTATTTTTTTTTCTTTTTAGCAATTGCAAGTTTTAATAATAATAGATGGAAAATGTTGGCATTCTGATACTTTAGTGGCCCAAACCCATAATTTCATAAAGAGCTCTACTAAACTATTCTTAACCCGTTACCCTAACCTAAAACATAGCCATACATGCTCCTTAACTCTAGTATAGGGACCCTTATTTGGCTTAAAGTAAAAGAAGGCTGAAATGTTTCTGTAACTTGTAAGCATGTCTGTATGGTACATTGTATACATGCTATCACAAAGTGGTTGGGCCAAGTAACAATTGTAACTACTTGGCCATTCTCGCTACACAGTACAATATAAGTTATTTCTTCGTGCAACCAGAAAGGCTGAGTTGTTCCAATTGGGCCAAGTAAGTTTTACAAGCCATTAGTAATTTTAGAATTTTGTAAAGCCTGTAGATATTGGGTAGTCCAAATAATTATCACGTTCACAACCATGTAATATGGACGTTGGGAAACTTAATTAGTTATTTTTCAGCAAACCTACGAAAAAAGGTAACAAGTCAGTGGCGGTTCCAGAAGTTTTCATAAGGGGGGGGGGGGGGGCTCGCTCCAGTCATGCTTCAGTGATTCCCTATATAATCAACCAAATTTTTCCCTTGAAAGGGGCAAGGGGCAAGTTTTGTGTAATTAATCAACCCAGATTCCTGAAACTTTTCATTTGTTGAAGTTGTGCAAAAGCTATTATGGAGTGGAATTATTTCTTTATTGTTTCCAGACTTGGAAACTATGTAAATTTTATTGTAATTATCTCCTCATACAGTTCAATTAAGATTCTAATACAAACATTACTATAACATACCGGCCATTTGAGACTTTGACCCATTTTTTGCTCACCTTTCTTTAAAGGAAATGTGAGCTATTGCCATCACTTGGCGTCCGTCGTCGTCATCGGTCTGTCTGGTGTAAAATATTTCAAAGATCTTCTCCTCTGAAACGTAACATGTAGAACCAATTCCAACCAAACTTAAGCTGAATGATCCTTGGGGTTTCTTGAATAATGTTTTGTGTTTTATTTTCTGTTATTTTCTTGAATATTATAATAGATAAAGATAAACCGTAAGCAGCAAAAATGATCAGCAAAGTAAGATCTACAAAATGTTAATGTGACCAAATTTGTCAATTGACCCCATAAGGAGTTATTGTCCTTTAATGACAATTTTACACATTTTGTTCATCATATTAGCTAACTTTTAGTCTTATAAAAAACCTTCTCCTCTGAAACTAGTGTACCAAATTCAACCAAACATAAACTGAATTATCATTAGGATGTCTTAAATAAACTAAAATAAGCTAAAAATGTTTATAGGTTATGGAATTCCTTTTCGCAATATTTGATGTTAAAATAATGGCTGGAAAGGCTTTCTCTGACTTTTACCTTATTTTTAGCATTAGTATTATTTGGGTCTGAAATCATAAGAAAGGAAATCTACAATCTGCTTAAATTTTGTTAATGACCTTTTATAAGCTATTTGAAGATTTCTATGAAAAGAAAAGTGGGTGTTATGGGGCAAAATATTTAACCCTGTATCTTAGGGAAAAACCCAAGGAGTCCAAACATTTGACAAAAATTTCCAAAACCTCACCTAAGTACATCCTTAATTGAAACGTGAATTTCTGTTTATTGAACATTTTTGGAGTTATCCGTTTGGAAAAATTGACCCTCAAAATATGAATAAAATTAGTTTTAAAATGCTAAACATCTTTTGCAGTCATGTTAGCTGCTCTGCATAATTTGGATCACTTCACAGACTTTGTATTGGGATACCCAGTGTATTTTCCTCCTGTTTTGCAGTTACATTGTATCTGCAAGATATTTTAAAAAGTTCTAAGGTATACATCATATAAATACTAATACATATTTTATTATCAGACATATTTTGCTTTCAGGCATGGAAGGCAAATTACAATCAAAGAGCCTTGCTGCTCAGGATATTATGCCATTCAAAAGACAAAAAATGTTCAATGTCACAGTCCAGTACAATTGAAAGTGTAAAATTTTTTTCCAAAGAAAAGGAACAGTCTGAGGCTTCATATCTGATGTATGATTGTTATAATTCCTTCCATCAACTATCCTTGGATAATTTTTATAAATATATAGACAGTTTTTTAAAATCGTTTGAGAATTCTGAAATAAGTGAGGATTATTGGAAGGAGATTGTTAACTGCTTGGAACTCTTTGACTATAAGTATGAAAAAATTGAGGGAGTAGAATTCTGGTCATCTGAAAAAAGTCCAAAGACTGATGAGGACTTGGTAGAAGCATTTGGAAAGATGTCTTTAGGTAACACATATTATTAATTTAGTTTTGTTTTCAAGATGGTTGGGGTTCTTAGGTCGGATGTCAACAATTGGTTTCCAGACAATAACTGAAAAAATATACATCCGATTCACATTATTCGAACAATATTCAATAATGATTCATTTTTTGGGAAAAGACGGAAGTCTATTTCCTTACACTGCAGCTCAGGTGGATTTTGCTTTTTCCACTTGCCCACTGTGGGCAGCCCACCTGTGCCCACTCTAGCTATATTCTCTTTGTTTTGAAAAATATTAAATACAAATGCTTATCTGCTTATTATACAGGAATAATATATAGGAATCACCCTGTCCGTCCGTCTGTCTGTCTGTCTGTCCATATGTCTTGTATGCGCAACTCCTCCTTAACGGATTGACCAATATTGACAAAACTTTATACAGTTGTAGTACACCACCTGAGGATGTGCATAAGGTAAAGATATTTCTGGTCTGAATTATTTCAAGGGAGACAATTGAATTTACTTAGTTTTAATATAGCAATAAATGGCAACAGGTCTTGTAAGCCCAACTACACTTTAATTGATCAATTAATATTGATGAAACTTTTACACAGACAGTTGTTGTACACAACATTAGGATGGGCAGGAAGGAGGATATATCTGGTCAGATTTTTTTTCAAGGGAGATAATTGAACTAAGTTTGTTTAAATATCACAATATGTGGCAATAGGTCTTATAAACACAACTCCTCCTAAAATGACTAGAAATATTAATGAAACTATGCACAATTGCAGTACATGACCAGAGAATGTGCATTACGTAAGATATTCTTGGTATGGAGTATTTAAAGTGAGATAATTAACTTATTTATCTAAATAAAGTTATTTTACTGTTTTTCACACACTAACTTAAAAAATGCAAAGAGAGATAACTCTTAATCATTATTATTTATTTTAAAGTATATTCCTTTTATTTAAAGTCATTAAGGCCATAGTTATTATAGTTTTAGTTTTACGAAATTTTTTGACAAAACCAATGGGTAGGAGGATGAAAAAACTAAAAAAAAAAACCTGCTGCTGCTGCTGATTTTTTTTAATACCAACCATCAATATCAAAATTTTTTTTTTATTTCACCAGGAGATTTTCTCCTAGTGTAACAACTATTTTTTTTATCTTGACAAGGTTTGAATTGAAAATCAATGAACAACTTACTAAATCACCAATAGCATAAATTTAGATTCTTTCATGCAGCTATGAACTAAAATTTATTTATTTTTTGCATGAAAAACACTGGGTCGGAGGAGAAAAAAAAATAAAAATCAACATTTTTAATTTTATTTTTTTTTCCTATTTTGCAAAAATTAGGGTAGGAGGGTTCGTAAAACTAAAAATAGAAAAACTACGTCCTAATAGTGGTGACATTTTCATTTTGTGTCAGAAACCTATGCTGTGTTAAATATTTAATCACAATCCAAATTCAGAGATGTCTCAAGCTTGCCTTAAATATGGAATTGGGGTATCCTTAGTGAGTTTACTCACAGTTTTACGCAAAACTCTCATATGCTAAATACTATCCACACTAATCTGTAACCACTCTTGTTTCAATTGAATGTATTTGCAAGTCTTTTGATAAAACAAAAGAAAGTTGGTCCAAATCAGGGTCCAAAATTAAACTTTGTTTGATTTCATCAAAAATTGAATAATTGGGGTCTTTGATATGCCAAATCTAACTGTGTATGTAGTTGTGTGGGTGTTGCACTGTTTGACGCATTACAAATTTTGGAATTTCCGTATGTGTTGCAATGTGGCTCATTGCCATATATGGCACCCGATAGATGGCACTCTCATTAGAATTTAAAATTTGGGAATTCCAATATCGGCACTTGTGCATAAGTTGTGGACGACAAAGCAAGTGTATGCTTAATTTTTGGTCCAGTTTGGTCCTGTTTTCAAATTGGTCTACATAAAGTCCAAAGAGTCCAACATTAAACTAAGTCAAGTTTGATTTTAACAAAAATTGAATTCTTGGAGTTGTTTGATATGCTAAATCTTAACATGTACTTAGATTTTTTATTGTGGGTTGTATTGCGCAACAGCATGAAATCTTCAATTGAAAATAAATTCAAATCATTTAACCAATTTCAAGTTCTTTAACTACATTTATTCTGTGACAGAAAACTATCATGTGTCAAATATTTAATTAAAATCCAAATTCAGCCTCTATCAAGCTTGAATATTGTGTCCTTATTTGCCCAAACTGATCAGGATTGGACCTCTGCGGTCGTATCCAGCTGGGTCTGTCCATTAAGCCATGACATAAAATGGGACATCATAGTTATATTTGAGAATGTGACACAGGTTGAAAAAAAAAATTGATTCAGAAAAAGGATATACCAAAGCATCCAGAAAAATATAACAGAAGATAGTTTGACTATTACAAAATTGATTTTGGACGCCTTCTTTTACCAATAAACATTTGTAACATATGTGACATGTCAAATATCCATTTTTAAAAGAAATATTTATGAAATCTTCTACACTTTGAAAGCTGAGTCAACAATGATGAGAAACAAAAGTAGATGTCATTTAAATTAAAACAATTAACCAAATGAAGATGGGCAATGATTTTTTTTTCACTTCTTCATCATAGCATATATATGTGACAGATATTTTGGCAGTTGCTTTATTATTTGTAAAAAAATCCTCTCAAAAGTATTGCCATAAAGGAACAATTTTTATTTTATAAATATAATGGAAATTATATTTGTAACACAGGTTTAATGAAATTATGAAGGAAAAAGAAAAAAAAAAGCCATTTTTCCCCAACATATGTGACTTGACATTTTGACATCTTGTATAACATATGTGACTTTTTACAACATTTATATTTATCTTTTGATTTTCTACTTCAAGTTAATTGAAAAAATAAGTAATTAAGTTTGGATATTTATCCTAAGATTTTTATGCCCCACCTACGATAGTAGAGGGGCATTATGTTTTCTGGTCTGTGCATCCGTCCGTCCGTCCGTTCGTTCGTCCGTTCGTCCGTCCGTTCGTTCGTCCGTCTGTCCCGTGTCAGGTTAAAGTTTTTGGTCAAGGTAGTTTTTGATGAAGTTGAAGTCCAATTAACTTGAAACTTAGTACACATGTGCCCTATGATATGATCTTTCTAATTTAAATGCCAAATTAGAGTTTTGACCCCAATTTCACGGTCCACTGAACATGTAAAATGATAATGCGAGTGGGGCATCCGTGTACTATGGACACATTGTTGTTAGTTTTGCAATTCAATATGATATGCATATTTATTATTTATAATCTAGTATTTAATATCACAATATTTATGATGTTCTACTTCCATTCTGTAATATTATAAGAGACCCCATTCTAAATCTAATAAATTATACACAAATAGGACATATCAATGCAAATGAAACACAATGTACATGATATAAGAATGTGGTAATCGGAGGAGCATTTTCCTGCTATGAACTAATGTACTTTCAATATTGTCAACAGTGTAAGAAACTTATTGAGAAACTAATCTTGTAGCAAACATTTTGATCTGTATATAAGAGAGTCAGAATATACGAAAGGGAGATTCAAACTCATAAGCCAAAAACAAACTGACAATGACATGTCAAAAAACTAAAGAAGTTAAAAAAACAAAACAAAAGTCTAAAAAACACAACATAAAAAAACTAAAGACATGACGAATTTTGGAATCTGAAATCATCTTTTTTGTCGTAAAGTTTAGTTCTCAACTGACCTTCAATGTCAATGTCCATATGTGTCTGTCCCTGTTGTCATTTGTTGCTGTTTATCATATTTTTTTTTTATACCCCCGCTTTGAAAAAGGGGGGTATACTGTTTTACCTCTGTCTGTCAGTCAGTCCGTCCATCCGTCCATCCGTTCGTCCTTCCGTCCCATAAATATTTTCGTTGCATTTTTCTCAGGAACTACATTTCAAGGATTTCTGAAATTTGGTTTCAAGGTTTATTTGAGTGAGCTATACCGTGTGATGCATTTTCAGATTCATCACTCAACAACTTCCTGTTTACCGAACACTTACATCATTTTACACATGATAGCCAAGTTGAAAATTTTTGTCACATTTTTCACAGGAACTATACATTACAAGGATTTCTGAAATTTGGTTTAAAGGTTTATATGAGTGAGCTATACCGTGTGATGCATTTTCAGATTCATCACTCAACAACTTCCTGTTTACCGAACACTTACATCATTTTACACATGATAGCCAAGTTGAAAATTTTTGTCACATTTTTCTCAGGAACTACAGTAACATTACAAGGATTTCTAAAAATTTGGTTTCAAGGTTTATATGAGTGAGCTATACAGTGTGATGCATTTTCAGATTCATCACTCAACAACTTCCTGTTTAACGAACACTTACATCATTTTACACATCAGTCAACAACTTCCTGTTTACCGAACACTTACATCATTTTACACATGATAGCCAAGTTGAAAATTTTCGTCACATTTTTCTCAGGAACTACAGTTACATTACAAGGATTTCTAAAAACTTATCATTTTGGGGTCCTTTGCAACTTGCCGTGTGGTGTTGGCTTTTGCTCCGTGTTGAAGCCAAAGGGTGAACTAAAATTGCTATTAACTTCAACATCAGTTGATCTCTGGTGGAGAGTTGTCATATCTGCAATTGTACCACATCTTATTTTTCTATGGCAACAAACGGTCTGTTCAAATAATTTTATTAGTCCCCTACTTAGTCCCCTACCAACAAAGTTGGAGGGGACTTTAGGTTTGCACTCTGTCCGTCTGTCCGTCCGTCTGTCTGTCCGTCTGTCCGTCCGTCCGTCAATCCATCCGTCCGGCAAATCAGCTTTCCACACTTTTTTTCGTCATGCTTTAAGATATTGGTTTGATATTTGGTATATAGTACAACCATGACAAGTTACAGATCAAGTTCTTATTTTGTTGCGGTCGGATGATTTTTTGCAGAGTTATGGCCCTTGGACTTAGAAAAATCACATAAGTAATCAGTTTTCCTTACTTTTTTTCATCATGCTTTAAGATATTGGTTTGATATTTGGTATATAGTACAACCATGACAAGTTACAGATCAAGTTCTAATTTTGTTCCGGTTGGATGATTTTTTGCAGAGTTATGGCCCTTGGACTTAGAAAAATCACATAAGTAATCAGTTTTCCGCACTTTTTTTAACCATGCTTCAAGATATTGACTTCATATTTGCCATATAGTTTAACCATGACAAGTTATAAATCAAGTTTGAATTTTGTTACGGTCTGATGATTTTTTGCAGAGTTATGGTCCTTGGAAAAATTCACTCAAATAATTGGTTTTCCACATTTTGTTTTTTAGCTCACCTTTCCTAAAAGGAAATGTGAGCTTTTGCCATCACTTGGCATCCGTCGTCGTCGTCGTCGTCCGTCGTAAACTATTTCAAAGATCTTCTCCTCTGAAACTACTGAACCAATTCCAACCAAACTTGAGCTGAATGATCCTTAGGGTATCTAGAATAAAGTTTGTGTTTTATTTTCCATTTCGTCAAAAAACATGGCCGCCATGGCTTAAAATAGAACATATGGGTAAAATGCAGTTTTTGGCTTATATCTCTTAAACTAAAGCATTAAGAGCAAATCTGACGGAGTAAAAATGTTCATTAGGTCAAGATCTATCAGCGCTGAAATTTTCAGATGAATTGAAAAACCAATTGTTGGGTTGCTGCCACTTAATGAAATTTTGCAGTTTTTGGTCATTATCTTGAATATTATTATAGATAAAGATAAACTGTAAACAGCAAAAATGATCAGCAAAGTAAGATCTACAAATAAGTTAATATAACCAAAATTGTCAATTGACCCCTTAAGGAGTTATTGTCCTTTAATGACAATTTTACATAATTTGTTCATCATATTTGCTAACTTAAAAAAATCTTCTCCTCTGAAACTACTGAACCAATTTCAACCAAACTTAAGGTGAATGATCAGTAGGGTGTCTTTAATAAAGTTTGTGTTTTAGTTTGCATTTCGTCAAAAAACATGGCTGCAATGGCTAAAAATAAAACATAGGGGTAAAATGCAGTTTTTCACTTATATCTCAAAAACTAAAGCATTTAGAGCAAATCTGACATGGGTAAAAATGTTCATTAGGTCAAGATCTAACAGTGCTGAAATTTTCAGATGAATTGAAAAACCCATTGTTGGGTTGCTTCCACTTAATTGGTAATTTTAAGGAAATTTTGCAGTTTTTGGTCATTATCTTGAATATTATTATAGATAAAGATAAACTGTAAACAGCAAAAATGATCAGCAAAGTAAGATCTACAAATAAGTTAATATGACCAAAATTGTCAATTGACCCCTTAAGGAGTTATTGCCCTTTAAAGACATTTTTCACAATTTATTTTTTTGTTGGCTTACTTTAAAAAATCTTCTCCTTTGAAACTGCTGAATAAATTTCAGCCAAACTCAGGCTGAATGAGTTTCAGAGTATCTAGTATAAATTTTATATTTATTTCCTTGTACGTCAAGAAACATAGCCTGTATGACTAAAATAGAACATAGGGGTAAAATGCATTTTTTTGCTTTTGAAGAAGATATGATCAGATTCAAGAATATTTATATATTAAATTGAAAAGCCAAAATAATCATTGATGAAAGATTTAAGCAAAAAATTTAAGGTGAGCGATTCAGGCTCTTGAGAGCCTCTTGTTTTGCAAAGTAATGGTCCTTGGAATTTGATTTTTGGGAACAATGAATTTTAACTGGTAGGGGACTATGTATTGCCATGCAATACTCTCAGAATGCTGGATACTATCCATGCTGGTCTGTGTCCACACTTGTTGTTTATCAATAACATGTGTGATTATTGACAACATCACATATGCCCATTGCTTCTAGTTTCATGAATAAAGTTTATAATAACGTCAAGATTCAATAACGTTTTTTAATTTAATTATAATGAACCAAAGAAATAAATATTTCTATTTGTAAGTACCATCGGGATATGATAAGCTTCAAATGTTCATACATGATTGTTGACAGCACCATCATCACATATGTTACTATTAAGTGATAACAATTTAAATACATGATTTTCGGTACTGATTGAAATTCCAAGTTACAGATGAGAAATCTTCACCAAGTTAAAAAAATAATTCTAAAAAGAATTTTCTGCATGTATCCCAAAGTGGCAGTAACATGCAATCTAAAACAATTGTGATGTTTGACTTTCAATATTATGGTCAAGAATCACAAAAGAAAAAATGTCAAACAGTCAAATCACAAATGTGCACATATCCTAATGAGGTCCTTGTGGTCTTATCATACTTTGGTCTTTGGCAACAGACGTATATTCTCTGTTTTCAAGAACTACATATTTTTAAAGGATATCAAAACAGGTATAAGACAATTTATTCTCGATTTCATGTTCATTTGTGATGAATTGTTCATATGTTATAATGCTGTGAAGTGTTGACGGGCAAAGTACAATTGGCAAATCTCGGCAGATTCCTCTACCCTACGTTATCATAATTGTATATAACAATGCAGTGATGATGACTTTCAATATAAGCAATTGTCCTTAATAATGACTCCTGTAAACAATGGATAACAATGAAAGTGAAATGCACATTTGTTATCCTTAATGTTGACGGACATTTGAAAGAAGTTTTTTTTCTTTCTTTTTTTCTCTCATAGAAGAATTAACAGGGGCAATATAATCCAAATATGAATAGGTCAACTATAAAGGTCCTTGTTTTCATATACATTAACTTTCAACTGACAGCTGTTATATGCATTACAAATATTTTTCTGTAAATATAAATTTGACGGACAGTAATCACAAATGAACTGCATATTAAAACATTAAAAATCACCCATTTTCACCAATTAAATTCACAAAACAAGTAGTTTACGACAAAAAACACACTATTAAGAACTAGCTGAAATGAATAAAAACCATTCACTTTATATTTTTTCGACATATTTTTAATCTTTTACTTGGTGATGTATAATTTGTCCCATTTTAAAAGGGCAAAAATGAGGCCTTTTTGAAATATAATCTTTATTTAAAAAAAAGTTGACAGCCTATCAAAATATAATTATTCATACTATCTCTTCATTATATAAGCAACATGTTTGCCCATTTTGCAGCATTCAATTGCTTCTTACAAAAAAATATTATATGTTTTCCCTGCTATACCACTAAAGCACTGTGTAAATGGACTGACCCAGCTGCGCTCGGCAAAGCACATTTTTATTTTTAAACAAGCAACTTGTTTTTCTCACCTATCCATATAAACTGACAGCATGTTTTTCCCCTACCTGTAAGGTCCATATTACCCCATGTACAAGTCAGGGAAGGAGGATATTTGGTCAGTGGATACATCTTAGGTATTAACCAACTGGATGATTATATCAGTACCAAAATAAGGTGACCTTGCCCTACATTTTTGTTATAACACGCTTTGCAAAGAAAGGGAGCAGTGGTGGGAGGGGATTAAAGCTGTTGTTTACTACTCCTCCATTTCATGCATTTCTTTATTATATATATTTTCAGAACAAACAGCATATGTATCAGCATTTGTGCAAGCATTACGGACTGATATGAAGAACGGCCATGCTAAAATGTGGATAGATGAATTGATAAAAATCCTTTTGAAATGTGTCGGTGCTGATGGGTCAGCTGACGTAAGTGGTTTTGCTCCAGTTCAGTATGACAACACCAACACTGTCATGGATATTGTTTTTGGTGATTTAGATAATTCAATTACTCAGATGGAGTATAATGCAGAACCCTATTTTAGCAGTTCATTCAGTAATTCTTCATCTTTAGTAAGCAGCCTTTCATCTTTAAATCTCGAATCAACAAGATTAACTGAAGCAGCTGATTTAGCACCAGAAGTACATCCTGTACATTTATCACAACCACACAAGAAAGTTGTGCCAGATTTTTGTGTTGCCCTTCCAGCCTTTCCTGGTATGTTCCCATTAGTATTTGAACTGAAACCTGCCTATCAGGAGTCACATGGACTTGTTCAAAACATTCAACAAATGTTGTCTAAACTGTTCTTCCAAGATATTGTTTTTGGCATTGTTGTCTCACCTAGATCATTTCAACTATCAGTTATTATAAAAAAGGATAAAGATCTTCATTTTGCAAGTACACCCAGTATGACATTTAGAGGTATTCAGAATCCACCAAAACTTGATTTGAAAGAGTTAAATACAATGTGTACCTTCATATTCAGAGTCTTAAAATGGGCCAGGAAATCAAAATGCATGATCAAAACCAAAGACAGCTGTGAGTTGGAGAAAAAATCTGAAAAGTCACTATGAAAACTTAAAGTCATATGAAACGAGTTGTAGAAAAAAAAGTTGAACATGATTTTTTTAACTAAATACCGTATAAACTCGCCTAATAGTCGATCCTACTATAAGTCGGGGGCCCTTTTCAGCTCCAAATTCTAAGGTTTAGTCTTGACCCTCGTATAAGTCGGACAAAATTTGGGCATTTTTTTTTCAGCTGACAGTAACTGAACGCCGGTAAAACCAATGCAAATCCAGGAATAATATTCATTTCTGCATTAATGTTTGTTTGGTTTGAATTTAGTTGATGCTCATCATGATAATTTATATTGCTGTTAATAATAAAGATGTATTCATTTCTCTTGTTTTGTTCACTGTTCAAATGTTAGATTAGCCATGTGTTGTTTACGTAATGCATCAATGATTTTGTAGGGTATGACTAATAACCTATTGTTTGAGAAAAGCGAATATAAACCAATATGAACCTGAAAAATTTAAAGTCAATCAACACTTGATGAAAATATTTTTCACAGCATACATAACTCGGTGTTAAATGAGCATGTACACTTCATAATTCTTATTATATTGTGATGATTAAAGGATTAAAAAAATTAAGTGAAGCTAATCAATATATTAAAATAACTAACTCCAACTCATTAGTGTCATCTGTTTACCTATCACTGATAGTTTTCACACCTTTAGTAAATACAACTCTTTGTCTCTTAATTGGGGTTATCAATGGATTATATTGGCTTGTCAATCAATTTTGTAATTTTTGTTTGCCTGAGACACTTTAATGAATAATGTTTTGATTTTGGGAATGAATCTTAAAATTATTTTTTGATTATTATATGATTTATAAGCATTGAATTGATATCATGATATCACAATAATGACACAATAACTCCGCTGAAAACATCCTTTCACATATTTGGTACATTGTTATCTCCTTTTCAATTTTGGTTCTTGGCTCTTCTTTTGGGTTTATAGGAAAACCATGTGACCATGAAAATCAATACACAAACCGGAAACAGTAGAATTTCAACACGAATTTGCAGAAAATGTTTACCAAAGAACAAATAAAACACAAAGACAGTATTGTAGTCATTTATTTTCAACAAAAACTTTTTATTTATTGATTTATGTAAGTTTGGCAATCAAAAACGTAGTTTTGAACAGGAAATTCACTCCTGACCACTTTTCTCAAGCTTGGATTTTTCCTCTGCCTCTGGTCGCTAGATCTCGTCTATTAGTCGGTCCCCCTCTCTGGATTATGAATTTTACTCCCAATTTTCCGACTAATAAGCGAGTAGGAACGGTAGTAAGTTTATAGTATAAAACTTTTATCCATACACTTGTTTTTGTGAAAACTCTTATATTTCAATGTAAAACTTCATGAAATGTACGGCTTCTGAATTATTTACTTCCAGTGAGTAATTGTTCCGAGATTCACCGAATGCTTTTCGGTATGCATGATTTCTCTCGTAAACAATGTGAAAGCCGTTACTGCGCAAGTAAAATTGAAAGTGAAAGTATATAAATCAACACAGCTTAATTGTCACACTAATAAAGCACGTGATTTTTTAGCACGCTTTTGTCAATTGTTTGTCAATATTAACGTGTCGGAGAACATCGGAAGGTTTTCTCGGACTTTAATAAGCAAAGATGGTTTCCATATAAAATCAACGAACACATTATTTTGTTTGTAAATTACACGTTACAGACTCAATATAAAAAGTGAAAATATATTACAAAGGTCTTAGTTTAGTGTATGTGCATGTATTGGACGAATAATTTAGTGAACATAATTTTTTCCACCAACTCGTTTCATATGACTTTAAGGTAGATGAGGTGTATAGATTTTTCTGAAACTTCTTTAAAAGACCTCTGGGTCAATTTCTTTCAACTTTAAAAATCTGGGGGTCACTGGTCTTTAATAATACATTGAAATTAACAGAAATAACAGTTTTTTATATGGGTTTATTCTATATATATATAGGGGAGAACTTATTTTTTCTAATTGAGAAATATTAGATGACAGAATTTGTTTAACTTCAAGGGGGGAATAATTTCAAAATATCAAATACAAATGGAGAGTTACAGGCCTTATTTTCTTGACAAATTAAAATAAATATGATTTTTCCTATCAAATTCAATTTAATTACGTGGGGTATTTTCCATTGATTTTAGAATTATTTTTTTTTTCGAAAGCTTAAAATATGCTAAACAACACTTATTTAAAAAAAGAAGAATCAATAAATTTCAAGAATAAAATATTCTGTTTCATTTTAATTATTATCATAAAATATTTCTAAACAAATTTTTTTTCAACATGCGCAGCAGAGATGCTCAGAAATAAACATCCCATCTACCTTAATTAATCACTGATGCCTTTCACAGATATTTGTTTTTCAGTTGTGACACAAGCAGTTGATAACAACATTCTGTTATCTACTTGTTGTGTGCAAGGTAAGGGGGGAACCCTTAGTTAGGTTCGATGGACTTTCACTAAGTTTAACATCTGAGGTCTGATTTCAGCTTTTAATTGATGAAGAATCATGTAAAATGGTACAGGGATGTATCTTGGGATGTCCTATCCTTCCTACATTAACCTAGTATATTTTGAAAATCATATCCTTCCTTGCATGATTGTCCATTGTAAACTTCTTTAAAAATCCACGCACTGGCAGGATTTTTAGGAATCTTGGTTCTGATGTTCCTAGGGGTACATGTATCTAGTTTGATTCTTCAAAAAGATGGCAGCCATGTCTAAGACTTACTGACACCTGTGTTTTATGCTCCCAGAACTGAAAGTTGGGGGGCATATTGTTTAACTCCTGTCCATCCGTCTTTCTGTCTGTCCGTCCCATTATAGGTATAGAGTCATTCCTGATAACTCCTCCTACAGTTTGTATGATAGGAAGTTTTCACTTTGCTGGCTGTTTATACATATTTTGAAGGTGTGCATGTGGTCAGGGTTTTGATTTTTATTAATATTTGCTCTTTTTGGAGATAGTTGAACCAAAGGGCCATGTGAGCTTATGCCATCACTGCGTCTGTTGTCATCGTAAACTATTTCAAAGATCTTCTCCTCTGAAAATATTGGGCCAAATACTTCCAAACTTTAACTGAATGGTCCTTAGGGTATCTAATTTGTAAATTGTATCCGAACTTTTGATCCTTCAACAAACATAGCCACGGTGGCAAAAAATAGAACATACAGTACAACCTGTGACTTCCTCTTAATTATGTCCACCCTCTTGTATGGTCAACATCAAATGGTGGCCATTTATTGGGGTATTCAATCTTGGGATGTTGGCCATTTATTGGGGTCATAAAACATAGGTTTATGTTTTATCTAATTATGTTGCCTGTTGAAATCAGTCAGGGTTGAAGTTTTCAGCTTGTATGTTTCATTAAAATTTACCTGTACAGGTAACTCAGATTCTAAAATTGACATTTCACCTTTTCTTGAAAAAATAGATTAGAATGTTGTTTTAGTCTTTGTTAATTCATATTATTTGTTGATTTTTTTAAATATTAATATATTTTCCTTCTCTAATGTTTCTATTTTTTTTAATTTTTATTTTTTTTATTTTTTTTTGCATTTTATTCTTTTAATTGCTTCTTGGTAAGAATCTTGAGTAGAAGTGACAAAAGTCAAGTTATTGACTAGCATGTGAAAACAAAACAGAGAATCCATAAATAATTATTTTTCAGTAAAAAAAAAGTTATTGTACATGATGTACATTATTATGGTCATAATTTAGAAATATAAATTAGTGGATAAAATGTCTAGAAAGGATAGAATATGTAAACTGTGCCTCTTGCTGGAAGATGAAGAACACTTCCTCCTTGATTGTAAAATTAACATAATAACTTAGAGACAATCTATTTGAAAATTGTTTACCTTCTCATGATAATGTCTCTTAACCAGGTTATGAATAAAATCTTACATCTTATAAAATCTTAACAAAGAACAAAAAGTAAAAGAAATGCTAAACCTCTATAACATGGAACATGTTTAAAATATTGGCTCCATTATCAAATAGTCATTAGAACTGAGGGCAGAAACATAATATTTTTTTCCATGTGTTTTGATTTCTTATAGAATTGTTATTTCTTTGCATTATATTGTTAAGTTTTGTATTATTTTGTCAAAAACAAATTATTATATGTTTATATGACAAAAATATTATCAAATTTTGCTGTAATGATTATTCTGAACATATTTATTAAATAGAGAAATAATGAATAACCTAAATTTTATTTAGAATAAGTCCTAAAGATAATCTTAAACATTTGTTAAACAATGTTGAATGCAGATCAGTCTCTCAAAGTATAAACAATTTTGATTTTAGAAAATTAATCTTAAGAAGCACCTTTTCAATAGAAAAAGGCAGATCTATGTTTGCATTATATCAAAAGATGATAGACTGATATTCATTTATTCTTCACTTGCCAAAAAAATACATGTAAAAAATTACTTACATTGATAGAATTATTTAAAAGGTATAACACCAAAAACAAACAGTCATGACAATTTTTTCAATATTTTTTTTTTATCAAGCAATATGTTCAACTAGTTTTATTATTTCATTTTATTTTTGAATTTTCATTTCATAATCACATTAACTAAATTTGACAAACACATATATTTTACCTGAGAGACTTTACCTGTAAGTTATATAATTTTAACACTTCAATGCAGTCATGATTTCCCTTTATCCTTGACTAGTTTTTATACGACCGCAAAAAAATTTTTGTGGTCGTATATTGGTATGATGTTGGCGTCGTCGTCGTCCGGCGTCGTCGTCGTCGTCGTCGTCGTCGTCCGGCGTCGTCCGAAGACACATTGGTTTTCGCACTCTAACTTTAGTTTAAGTGAATGGATCTTTATGAAATTTTACCACAAGGTTCAATACCACAAAAGGAAGGTTGGGATTGATTTTGGGGGTTATGGTAATAACAGTAAAGGAATTAGGGGCCAAAAATAAGCATTTTTGTAACTTCCAGACATAACTTGTGTGTTAGTGTATGGATCTCTCTGACATTGTACCACAAGGTTCCATATCACTAAAGGAATGCTGGGATTGATTTTGGGGGTAATTGCCTCCAAATTTTAGGAATTAGGGGCCAAAAAAGGGGCAAAAAACAAGCATTTTTCTAGTTTCATGACAATAACTTGTGTGTAAGTGTATGGATCTTTCTGAAATTGTACTACAAGGTTTCATATCATAAAGGGAAAGCTGGGTTTGAGTTTGGGGGTAATTGCCCTAAACGTTTAGGAATTTGGGGCCAAAAAACACATTTTTTTCTAGTTTCCAGACAATAACTTGTGTTCAAGTGTATGGATCTCTCTGAAATTGTACTGCAAGGTACCATACCACAAAGGGAAGGCTGGGATTGAGTTTGGGGGTGATGAATCATAATGGGGGTTCAAAAAATTTTGGGGGGGGATTTATTTTTTTTTCCTTTTTTTTTCTTTTTTTCCTTTTTTGTTTCTTTTAAAATTTTCCATTTTAAGTTGGTTATTTCTGATTTATATTTAAAATCAAATAATAATGATATGGTAGGAGATACACACCAAACAGGATGTGTAAATTATTATATAATAAGTATTGTGCAATAGCAAGAAATTTTCAATTGCACAGTATTGCACAATAGCAAGAAATCTTCAATTGCACAGTATTGCGCAATAGCAAGAAATCTTCAATTGCACAGTATTGCACAATAGCAAGAAATATCCAATAGCACAATATTGCGCAATAGCAAGAAATTGTCAATTGTACAGTATTGCGCAATAGCAAGAAATATTTAATAGCACAGGATTGTGCAAAAGATACTTCCTATAAATTGCTTATTTCTTGACCAATTTCAATGGGGTTTTATTCTTGATTTCATGGGGTTCTTTAATATGCTGAATATAACCGTGTATTTAGTTTTTGGATTTTGGGCCCCGTTTTTAAATTGGTCCACATTGAGGTCCAAAGGGTCCAAAATTAAACTTTGTTTGATTTCATCAAAAATTGAATTATTGGGGTTCTTTGATATGCCGAATCTAACTGTGTATTTAGATTCTTAAATTTTGGTTCCGTTTTCAAATTGGTCTACATTAAGGTCCAAAGGGTCCAAAATTAAACTTAGTTTGATTTTAACAAAAATTGAATTCTTAGGGTTCTTTGATATGCTGAATCTAAACATGTATTTAGATTTTTGATTATGGGCCCAGTTTTCAAGTTGGTCCAAATCGGGGTCCAAAATTAAACTTTGTTTGATTTCAACAAAAATTGAATATATGGGGTTCTTTGATATGCTGAATCTAACCATGTATTTAGATTTTTGATTTTTGGGCCCCGTTATCAACTTTGTCCACATTGAGGTCAAAAGGGTCCAAAATTAAACTTTGTTTGATTTCATCAAAAATTGAATTATTGGGGTTCTTTGATATGCCGAATCTAACCGTGTATTTAGATTCTTAATTTTTGGTTCCGTTTTCAAATTGGTCTACATTAAGGTCCAAAGGGTCCAAAATTAAACTTAGTTTGATTTTAACAAAAATTGAATTCTTAGGGTTCTTTGATATGCTGAATCTAAACATGTATTTAGATTTTTGATTATGGGCCCAGTTTTCAAGTTGGTCCAAATCGGGGTCCAAAATTAAACTTTGTTTGATTTCAACAAAAATTGAATATATGGGGTTCTTTGATATGCTGAATCTAACCATGTATTTAGATTTTTGATTTTTGGGCCCCGTTATCAACTTTGTCCACATTGAGGTCAAAAGGGTCCGAAATTAAACTTTGTTTGATTTCATCAAAAATTGAATTCTTGGGGTTCTTTGATATGCTGAATCTAACCATGTATATAGATTTTGGATATTGGACCATAATAGGTGAATGTCCGATTTAAAATTTTTAAGTTCTTAGACCACATTCAATCTGTGTTAGAAACCTATGCTGTGTCAAATATTTAATCACAATCCAAATCCAAAGCTGTATCAAGCTTGAATGTTGTGTCCATACTTCCCCCAACTGTTCAGGGTTCGACCTCTGCGGTCGTATCAAGCTGCGCCCTGCGGAGCATTTTATTGATTAATACCTTGTGTATTAATTAAGCAACAGGGGGTATAATGATGGACATATAGGGCCATCATGGTGAACATTATTTTTAGGGCCACCACCAATAAGATAATGTCACAGGTAGTACTGTAGGGGTCAAATGCAGTTTTTCGCTTATATCTCAAAAACTAAACCATTTAATGCAAATCTGACATGGGTAAAAATATCCAATACTGGTCAAGATCTATCAGCCCTGAAATTTTCAGATGAATCTAACAATTCATTGTTGGGTGGCTGCCACTAAATTGGTAATTTTAAGAAAATTTTGCAGTTTTTGGTTATCTTGAATATCATTGAAGATAAAGATAAACTGTAAACAACAAAAATGTTCAGCAAAATAAGATCTACAAAAAAAGTTTGTATGACCAAAATTGTCAATTAACATCTGAAGGAGTTATTATCTTTTAAAGACAATTTTACACTATTTATTCATCATACTTGCTTAAATTTTAAAATCTTCTCCTCTGAAACTACTGGGCCAAATACTCTCAAACTTTAACTGAATGTTCCTTAGGGTATCTTATTTGTAAATTATGTCTAAAGTTTTGATCCATCAACAAACATGGCTGCCATGGCTAAAAATAGAACATTGGGTCTAATGCAGTTTTTAGCTAATATCTCAAAAACTATAGCATTTAGAGCAAATTTAGCACAGATTAAATCTATCAGCCCTGAAATTTACTGATAAATTCAACAACCCAATGTTAAATTGTCAATTTTAAGAACATTTTGCAGTTTTTGGTTATTATCTTGAATATTATTGAAAATAAAAATAAACTGTTAACAGCAGAAATGTCCGGCAAAGTAAGATCTAAAAATAATCAATATGGCCAACATTTAAATGGTATTTTAAAGCAAAAATAATAATTGATGAAAGGTTTAAGCAAAAGAATACAGGTGAGCAACTCCTTATTTGGAGTATATACTTGCATAAGAGGTGCTGGCATTTCCAGATAACTCGATCCTCCTACAGTTTCAATGCTAGGAAGTTTTCACTTTGCTGGCTGTTCATACATATATTGAAGGTGTGCATGTTGTCAATTGACATTTAATTTATTCAGGGTTTTGATTTTTGTTAATATTTGCTCTTTTGGGAGATAGTTGATCTTTGTCATTTTTGGAGTATATACATGCATAACAGGTGTATAACATTTCCTAAATAAGACTACATCTGTGGGGACATCATCTGTTTCACTTGAACACAATAATATCTCAAAGAAAGTCCTACATTGACATCAGAGTGGAGTGTGGGGACATATCACTTTGTCTAGTCTGATATAGTGTTAAAATTGTTTTTCGTCCTGATCATGCATGACATATTTGTTGCTGGATGTTAAGCAAACATCATTTAATCAATTTTATTCACATATGTGTTAAATATGTTTTTCTTCCTTTTTAGGATGTTTATATGACTTCTATGATAAATATGAATGTTTGTATAGGAGAAGCCAATGAATTATATATAAATAGGCAGGTGTTGCATCAGATTAATTTGTTGTAAAACTTAATTTGAATAAGTTTATGTTACTATGTTGTTGATGTTTACTTTATTGATTATGTTGACTGATTTTTTATAATTTATATGTAATTATTATATAAATATGTTCATATACACACAAATAAATATATATTTTTATACTTAAACAAGTCAAAACAACCAGAACTTCAATCACAACAGATCTACTGGATCTATACAAAATTAAATAGATGCAGATTATTTTTCTGAGAACACTGTACTGTCAAAGTTATAGAATTTAATGAAATAACAATGTATACATGTTTTTTTTAACTTGAAACATACATTTGTACATGCATGACATTGTTAGTCATAATGAATTATATCACATTTTGAAATTCTTATATTTATGTAGAGTTTAAAAGCTATGTTATTATCATCACAGTGTACGTAACAAGCAGACAGTGACTCAAAACAGAAGTTGCTGAACTGTCCAACAGAGATCGGCTCGTTGCTTAACAAAAATAAATTAATTTTCAACTCAAATGAGCCCATTATGAAGCTTATGACAGCTCGAGATGTGAGAATTACAATATAGATGTATCATTTGACCATTTGAAGCTTATTTTGTCCTTTTAGCATATCATTATACCCCCAAAAAGAAAGTTTTAGGGGGTATATAGGAATCACCCTGTCGGTCCGTCCATCTGTCTGTCTGTCCATCATAATCTTGTATGCTCAACTCCCGATTTAGGTACCCCTGAAGCAGTGGGAAAACTAAACAAAAAGACATGTAAGGTCAAATTCTTATTATTTTCATTAATTTCTACGTTTTGCTGACAAGTAAAGTTCTGTGATACTGATTCCTAATAGATGTGGCTATATATAGCTATTATTTAAGGCTACTTGTTATCCTTAATTAATTTTCTTTCTCTTCAAATCGTCATAAGCGGAACGCGTGGTACCTGTTAAAAGGTGCATTTGACAAATTAAAGATGGTTAAAAACACATCTATCCATCAATTTTTCATTTTGCGTTTTGGTAGAACAAAGTTTTATCATATTCATACTTGCACAACACCTTAATTTGAAATAAACTTTTGTTTTGATTGAGAAATTCATGTAAATAAAGCGAATAAATTGTACGGCGAATAGCATATTATTGTACGGGGAATAGATACTTGTTGTCTTTCAATGTGTACGGCGAATAGATATTCACCGAATGTATGGATTTCTTATTTCAACCATTGTCAACTCACATATTTGTAAATAGTGAAATGATACTTTTGGCCCAGGCTACCTTAGAACATAAGCTATCATGTTCACCTAGTGTGGACAAAAGTTTTGCTGTAGGGAATTTTTAAGAATTAAAGTTGGAAGGGGGAGGGTCGATTCTTACCCAAATTCAGACCTCGGTTGTAGATGTTACGTGAATTTAAAAAATAACTTGTGTAAAAGTGTATGGATATCTAAAATTGTACCACATTTTACAAAAATAAAAGTTCTTCAAAAAGAAAAATTGGGGGGGGGGTGTGCAAGAATTTTTTTTTGAGGGGGGGGGCAATTTTTTTTTTCAAGATTTACGAAATAACCATTTTTTTAAGGGAGGGGGCAAATTTTTTTTGGTTTTTCTCACAATTTATTTTGCTATTTTTTTGTGTATAGTCTGAAAACAGATTTAATAAGTATTGTGCAACAGCACAGTGTATTGCACAACAACAAGAAATCTTCAATTAAAGATAAATTCAAATTATTTAACCAATTTCAAGTTCTTTGACTACATTTATTCTGTGACAGAAATCTATAAAGTGTCAAATATGTAATTAAAATCCCAATTCAGTCCTGTATCAAGCTTGAATATTGTGTCCATTTTTGTCCCAACTGTTCGGGATTGCACATCTGCGGTCGTATTCAGCTGCGCTCGGCGAAGCACATTTTTATTCCATGACAGATCAGTGTAATATTGAATTGTTTATAATGGTTAACTCTGGTCACCTAACACATATATTGACGTTGATTACCTCAGGTCATTTCAACTAATAGGCCGGAGAACACAATTATTTCGTAGTGCATTTCTTTTAGACAATAAATGAAAATTTAAAAAATCCCACCTGCGCTTTCTCGATGATATTTTTACAGTGTGGTGTACTACTTTTGGGACAATTTATAGCAAAATTACAGAAAACACAAAATATGGACAATTTTATGTTAAAGGGGTCTTGAATTCTTTTGACAGCTTCCGATATACTAATTTTTAACCTTTTTTGGTTGAACCAAATTACTACTTTACTTTAAAATTCATGACCCAATTTTTTTTGGCAGTGTAGTTTCATCCCCCTACTTACTATTAGAGGCATAAAACATGGAGAAATAAATTTGGAAAAGGGTATTAAAAAAAATAGCAAGTATCACACTGTCCACACTAGGGACTATATTCGTAGACAACGAAAATCAAGAGACTATAACTGTGTTTCCTGACCAATATTGACTATGGTTACCTCTGGTCACCTTACACCGCTGTTCATATATTGACTAGGTTACCTCTGGTCACCTTGGTCTCATATTGACTATGTTTACCTCTTGTCCAGCTACAATGATGCTCTGGTCACATTACACACTCATTTAATTTGGTTACCTCACATTGTACATATATTCATTATGTTGACCTCTGGTCACCTTACAATAATGCTCACATAACACAATCATTCACTTTGGTTACTTCTGGTCACCAAACACATATATTGATGTTAGTTACCTTGGATCATCATACACAGATATTGACTAAAATTTCCTCTGGTCACCTTACGCAAATATAAACGTCGGTTTTGTCTAGCCACCTTATTAACAAAATATGTTTATTTTGTTAACCTCTGATTTCCCACTAAATATATTTATTTTTGTTACCTCTAATCACCTTACATTCACATTGACGTTGGTAACCCTGGTCACCTTACATCTGTATGCTTTTTAGTTACCTCCGGTCACCTTGGACATCTCTTGACTATGTTTACATCTGGTCACCTTACAATCGTTGTCCTGGTCAAATTACACACGTATTCAATTTGGTTAACTCTGGTCACCTAACACATATATTGACGTTGGTTACCTCGGGTCATTTCAACTAATAGGCCAGAGAACACAGTTGTTTCGTAGTGCATTTCTTTTAGACAATAAATGGAAATTAAAAAAAATCCCACCTGCGCTTTCTCAATAATATTTTTACAGTGTGGTGTACTACTTTTGGGACAATTTATAGCAAAATTACAGAAAACTCAAAATATGGACAATTTTATGTTAAAGGGGTCTTGAATTCTTTTGACAGCTTCCGATATACTAATTTTTAACCTTTTTTGGTTGAACCAAATTACTACTTTACTTTAAAATTCATGACCCAATTTTTTTGGCAGTGTAGTTTCATCCCCCTACTTACTATTTTAGGCATAAAACATGGAGAAATAAATTTGGAAAAGGGTATTAAAAAAATAGCAAGTAACACACTGTCCACACTAGGGACTATATTCGTAGACAACGAAAATCAAGAGACTATAACTGTGTTTCCTGACCAATATTGACTATGGTTACCTCTGGTCACCTTACACCGCTGTTCATATATTGACTTAGGTTACCTCTTGTCACCTTGGTCTCATATTGACTATGTTTACCTCTTGTCCAGTTACAATGATGCTCTGGTCACATTACACACTCATTTAATTTGGTTACCTCTGGTCACCTTACAATAATGCTCACATAACACAATCATTCACTTTGGTTACTTCTGGTCACCAAACACATATATTGATGTTAGTTACCTTGGGTCATCTTACACAGATATTGACTAAAATTTCCTCTGGTCACCTTACGCAGATATAAACGTCGGTTTTGTCTAGCCACCTTATTAACAAATATGTTTATTTTGTTTACCTCTGATTTCCTACTAAATATATTTATTTTTGTTACCTCTAATTACCTTACATTCACATTGACGTTGGTAACCCTGGTCACCTTACATCTGTATGCGTTTTAGTGACCACCGGTCACCTTGGACATCTCTTGACTATGTTTACATCTGGTCACCTTACAATCATGTCCTGGTCACATTACACACGTATTCAATCTGGTTAACTCTGGTCACCTAACACATATATTGACGTTGGTTACCTCGGGTCATTTCAACTAATAGGCCGGAGAACACAGTTGTTTCGTAGTGCATTTCTTTTAGACAATAAATGGAAATTAAAAAAATCCCACCTGCGCTTTCTCAATAATATTTTTACAGTGTGGTGTACTACTTTTGGGACAATTTATAGCAAAATTACAGAAAACTCAAAATATGGACAATTTTATGTTAAAGGGGTCTTGAATTCTTTTGACAGCTTCCGATATACTAATTTTTAACCTTTTTTGGTTGAACCAAATTACTACTTTACTTTAAAATTCATGACCCAATTTTTTTGGCAGTGTAGTTTCATCCCCCTACTTACTATTTTAGGCATAAAACATGGAGATATAAATTTGGAAAAGGGTATTAAAAAAATAGCAAGTAACACACTGTCCACACTAGGGACTATATTCGTAGACAACGAAAATCAAGAGACTATAACTGTGTTTCCTGACCAATATTGACTATGGTTACCTCTGGTCACCTTACACCGCTGTTCATATATTGACTTAGGTTACCTCTTGTCACCTTGGTCTCATATTGACTATGTTTACCTCTTGTCCAGTTACAATGATGCTCTGGTCACATTACACACTCATTTAATTTGGTTACCTCTGGTCACATTGTACATATATTCATTATGTTGACCTCTGGTCACCTTACAATAATGCTCACATAACACAATCATTCACTTTGGTTACTTCTGGTCACCAAACACATATATTGATGTTAGTTACCTTGGGTCATCTTACACAGATATTGACTAAAATTTCCTCTGGTCACCTTACGCAGATATAAACGTCGGTTTTGTCTAGCCACCTTATTAACAAATATGTTTATTTTGTTTACCTCTGATTTCCTACTAAATATATTTATTTTTGTTATCTCTAATTACCTTACATTCACATTGACGTTGGTAACCCTGGTCACCTTACATCTGTATGCGTTTTAGTGACCACCGGTCACCTTGGACATCTCTTGACTATGTTTACATCTGGTCACCTTACAATCATGTCCTGGTCACATTACACACGTATTCAATTTGGTTAACTCTGGTCACCTAACACATATATTGACGTTGGTTACCTCGGGTCATTTCAACTAATAGGCCGGAGAACACAGTTGTTTCGTAGTGCATTTCTTTTAGACAATAAATGGAAATTAAAAAAATCCCACCTGCGCTTTCTCAATAATATTTTTACAGTGTGGTGTACTACTTTTGGGACAATTTATAGCAAAATTACAGAAAACTCAAAATATGGACAATTTTATGTTAAAGGGGTCTTGAATTCTTTTGAC